CTTGATAAGAGGGAGGAGCTTGATCAAAAGTTTCTGGTTCGATTTCCTCTTGTAGGATTTTTAACTAATTTTCGTCCGATAAATAAAATTATAGAAAAGTTATTTCTCTATAACAGTATCTAATAGAAGTTTATCGGTTTTTGTATTGGTTTCCGAGTAATTTAGATGGGACCGGTCAACAAAATTCTCTCCACACTGCTTGGTCCCTAATCGGTCCCATCTAAATTACACGAATATTAGTTAAAAATGCCAATTCTTTACAAATTTTGCTTAAAATCGGCTAACAATTACTGCGGGACCGATTAACATCTCTATTCTAATGTCATTTTATATATGCACCATTAAAATATTCTACAGGGAGAGGTACGTACTTAATACTGTTAAATCAAATTTTTACCTTACTAATGATCTTATTAGAGTTAGAGTTTAGAATAGTTTTAAGGCATAGTTTTAAGATATTAGTTAAAATGTTTTTTTTTTAGATCTTTGTGAGCATAAAATTATTATTATTAATAATAAAACCAAATTCAAAATTTAACGAATTCCGAGGTTATATCTATATAATTTATTCATGTGGAAAAAGGTATACGTTATCAAATATTATAAAATATTGGCATGCTATGGCATGCAGGGTGGCATCTCGGCATGGTTTTTGAAGATGGAATTTTAAAATAACTTCAATTAATCGCTACAACTCTTTAGCAAATTACATTGAGGAAGTTTCTTGAAGAACGCATGTCTGAATTGTGTGCTAGGTTTGTGGCGCAGCTATAATGATAATAAAATTCTTTAAAGTGTATTTATGTTAGAGTTGGGAATTAGTAGGCTATATAGTAAAATCGCTCAAGGAAAGCTTTTAATTAGAGCGCCAAAGGTGGTTTCCTATCTATATTATCGAGAAATAGACGATTTTTGACAAAACGAACGTTTTTACTGATTGTGTTACGTTATACCTGATCTTGAAATCTAAATGCCTTGAGAACACCTAGGCAATTTTTTAGACTATGTCGATCAAATGATCTTAGTACAGTAATACCAGTAATTTGTCGTGTCCTACGAAGTGTCAATCTATATAATTCTTGTAATAACTATGCCAGGAGAAATCACCACCCCCGAGCCAAGTCAAGCCGCACAGACAAAGGGTAAGGGAAAGGTTGTCGAGGAAGAAAAAGAAGAAAATGTTACAAAAAGCTCTTCATCGACAAAATCTACAAACGAATATCAACTGAAAGCGATTGAATGGACTGATTCAGTAAGCGAAAAAACCAGAAAGTTGAAGATCATCACTCAAAATGGTATTCTATTTCTTTTCTTACTGTTTGCCTGGTCTATCTCTTATTTATTATTTTCAAATCTTGTAGAAAATGGCCCGTGTCCTTTGTTAGCACTTTGTATCCTATTTTATTACGAATATTTCGGCAATGCTTTGTGTCTAGAGTAATAGAATTAAATACTTTTTAACTCTAGTAAATATAATTAAATTTTAGGTAATGTTTTGCTTTTGCGAGGTGCTATTGAGACTAAACCATATGAACGTTCAAATGTGACTTATGATTTCCTTG